ACTCGGAGGCCAGGAGCAGTTGGAAGCGAGCACAGTTAGAAATGAGTCGGGGGCGGACAGAACCCCCAACAGTGACACGTCGATTAGTGAAGTGTCCGTTTTCGGTTCTCGAGAGGGCGCCGCGGCCGTTATTTTCCAGGCTTGCGCCCGCCAGGTTTGGGCCTCAGGTTGTTTTCACTAAACCACGTTTTACTAAAGGGGGGTCTGTCCATCCCCGAATGAGCACGATTAGAAATGAACGACGTGTAGTGGAGGGGTGGATACCATGGCATGGGCCATGATAGTTCCCCAGATTTCATCGCTTCTTATTGCGTTTCGTTCCTGGCCCCCCCCCCCGGGCCGCGCACGTGCCGCCAGCCATGATTCGCACCCCCCCCTCTTGGACGCCCCCCTCTTGGCTGCCCCCGATGACAGCCTGCCCTCCCGCTTTGACGCGGATGTGTCGGAAATGCGTTTGCATCGCTTGGGCGCCAGGATGAGCTCTCATATTTCTTCAATCCTGAAGAAGTGGCAGCGGCGCGGATGTGATACTTGGTGGAATTGGAGAGTGCCGACCAAGTGGCAGCCTCGTACAGTCGCGCAACAAGTTATAACAGCATCTTGGAGAAGATGCCAGCAGTGGCGCACACAGGGGGATCATGACGTGATAGCCGCCTTGCAATGCAAGCAGCGTGCGTGGATGAGCAATTGGGGCGAGACGTCGGAGATCAACTTTTGGAGTACGCTGGCGTTGCTCCGTGTGGTAATATTCATGAGAATGCTACTTAATGCCCAAGCGTCCTTTGCACTTGATTACGCAAAAATCTGTCGCGCGTCCATTTCTCACATGTGCTATATTTGTTCCACAGGGTCAAGGGATTGTCGCGACGCGCAGGCAGTTTCGCACTTTCTGTCGTTGCCTCTAGCGCGTCGCCATCGTCAGTCCGGCTGCCGCAAGGCAGAGGCCCCAACTTGGCGTCAGCACACACACACTCACCACCTACCAAACCACCCCAACCCAACCCGAAGGCCTCAATTTGCCCTCCATTTCCAGTGGGGGGGGGTCGGGGAACGTTGAAGAAACACAGATGGAACCCGTACCCCCCCCAACCCGAAATTGGGGTCTTCGGGTTGGGTTGGGGTGGTCTGGAAGGTAGTCACACACACACATACCAGCTTGTGCTGGAGCCACAGCGGCGCAATCATGCGAGCGACGCAACAGAAAGGAGGTCGTCTTCGCCGACGTTGGCGCGCAAGCTGCCCGCGGACGGTCGCGCGCGGGCGCCCTCGCTTCCAGCGTGGCCTGTCTCGCTCCCCTGCCCTGCCGCCGTGCCCCTCTCCGCCCCCGAGAGGGGGAACTCGAAGTGGCCTGTGGGTCCTCCTCCTCCTCCTCCTCCTCCTCCTCCTCCTCCTCCTCCTCCTCCTCCTCAAATATCATTGTCCGAAAGATGCCCCATGGCCTCCCATACGTCCAACGTGTCCCCGGGAGCCCCTCCGAGACCCCTCAGGAGCCCCCAGGGGGGCCGAGATTCCTCCCAGAGGCCAAGCAGCTGCCCCCATGGGAGGCCCCAACTCCCCCCGCCAGCCCGACCCGCCCGGCCCAGCCCCGCCCGACCACGCCGCCAGCGGGCCCGCCCGTCCGCCCGCCCGGTGTGATCCCGGCTCGCCTGCGCGGGTGACCCACCAGGTTTGGGAACCCCCAAACAGGGTGGCGAGATACCAGGTGGCGACCTGGAATCCCCAAAAAGGTCACCGCTGGGTTTGGGGACGCGGGGTCACCACCGGGTTTTGTGACTCCTGGACCCACCAGCGTCCGGGACATCCTCGGAAAACCGCACGAGTCCCCAAACCGGGTGGTGACACCGAATCGCCCGAGACTCACCGCCAGGTGTTGTCACCACCACGTTTGGGGACTACCAACAGGTCGCGCCCACGGGGCGCACGCGTTTCTCGCCTCGCCCACCCGCCATCGCCCTGCCTCAAGCAGTGGCGAAGCGTCCTGGCTCGCCTATACTCCTACCAAACAATCTTCTGAGAATCTTTGGTGGTTTCCACGGCATGTTCTTAGAGCATGTCTGGTTGATATTGTCTTGTTGTAACACATTTGGGATTATGTTCTAAGAACATTGTTTTCGTTATTGGAACATGTTGGGGTTCTAAGAACATTTCGTGGTAGGACTACAGGAATGCCGGGACGGTCGGCCCCCGCTCAACTTCCGCTCTCCCTCCTGACTCACCGAGCGCGTTCCGCTACTCGCAAGGTGCCTACTCGCAAGCGTCCGAAGAGCAAGTGCCTGCCTCGATGTAATGTATCGCAGACTCCCCATGGCGAATCTGGGCCTTCTGCGAGTAGCTACTTGGCGAGTAGTGGAACGCGCTTGTCTACTGACGCCTCGTCTTCCACTTTTTTCACAACCCTCCTTGAAGTTGGGTTCTCGTTTGGAATAGAGCAGTGTGGGCTCCACCACCTCCTCCTCCTCCTCCTCCTCCTCCTCCTTCCTCCCCGCCTCCCCTTCATTCCCTCCCCTCAGCCCTTACCCTTTCCTGTTTAGCCGTCCTCTCCCTCGTCGAGACCTCGCGGGCCCCGCGGGGCTGGGAGCCGCGCCACTGCTGCCACACTCGTGGGCTCTTGGGAGGTCCAGCGGAGTGGAGGTCCGCGTGGCCCCGCCGAGACCTCGCGGCTCCCTGGGGGACTGCGAACCGTGAAGCTGGCAGCTGCAACCGTCGCCACTTTCGTGGGCTCCCGGGAGGTCCTGCGAAATCTCGCCGCCGCCCCAGTGTTACGTCCACTCTCATGTGTTTCTTCATGCTTTCGTTGCCGTTCCCTGTTGCCACGTCCGTTTGCTTTTATATCCTGGTTGCTCTCGCTGCCGCGCCCTTTCGTTTCCACTTCTTGAGGTATGCCGTCGTTTGGCCGCCGCGCCTTTTTGTTTCCAGCCTCAGGCGCGTGTCCTCTCCTCGCCCGTTTTGCCTCGCATTGTTAATGTCACGTTTCATGTGTATGTGATCTTGAGCACTGCGGGCCTCTTCTGATGTTCGTTTGCATTGAGCGTTCCTGAAGACACCTTCTTCGTGATTTGAAAGGGTTGGGTTCGTCACTGGGTAATGTTCTCCTCTGCCACCTGCCTCTCCCCCTTGCGTACCCCACCAGCTCAAAGCGAGAAGTGCTGGAGCATCCATACTGCAGTCTGGCGCCAAGAGTTTTCCGCGCCGATTGGCAGGCATGGGCTGCATCGGAGCGAAGAGCACTTACGGCATAGATCCTCAGGAAATTGAGGGGCAGGTGCACAACCTCCGCCAGAGGTATGGCAGCGACGTCCTCATCATGGGCGTCAAGGACCAGAACGTTCCGGGCAAGCTGTGCTTGGCAGGGGGCAAGTCCTCCATCACGGACGCGCTGGTCAAAGACATCGAGAATTGCCTCAAGTCGGACGAGAAGAACCGGGGCATCACGGTGCAGCAGGACAAGTACGACATGATGTGGTCGCATAGTTGGCATAACACTTCGCTCACAACCGGCCACTCGACATTCTCACTCCAGAAGTCGTACTTCCCTCGCGGTAAGATCTTTGTGAAGCTCCTCGACACCATCTCGAATCACGGGTGGGACCTCTCCGCGGCCCCGAACTTTGGCGGCGTCGAGTCCAGGGACGACAAGGGGAACGTGACCTCGACGGTTGATTTCCCAGTGTTCATCTTCTACCGGTCACCCCAGGATTCCTCTTCCTCCCTCCGCCATATCCTACGCGTTTGCATATATGTGTATGTATGTGTATATCGAGGACGCCTACGGCGAATCACCGCCTCCCCCTGCCTTTGGGAATCGCCCATGCGGCCGAGCGTTGTGGCAAGAGCTCTGCCAAGCTATCGGACCATGTGTTCCCCCAGCCGTTGTAGAAACTGTCGGGGAACACTTGGGGAGGATGGCGCGGAAGATCAGGAGGAGGAGGAGGAGAAGGAGGGGGCATTTTCGGAGCCTCTGGGGGCACACTTGGGGCCTCTTGGGAGCTTCCTGGGAGCCTTTTGGAGGCATCTTGCAGGCCATCTTGGGCCTCTTGGGGGCCTATTGGACCGTCTTGGGCAGTCCTAGGGCATTTCTGGTCCGTCTGACGCCCTTCGGAAGCCGTCTTGGGACCTCTCTGGGCCGACTTGGGGCCCTCTTGGGGTGCTCCACGGCCGTCTTGGAGGCCATCTTGGGCGTCTTGGAGGCCTCTTGGGCCGTCTTGGGGGCTCCTTGGGGCCGCCTTGTGGGCCTCTGGGGCCGTCGTGGGGGCCCACCTTGGGGCCTCCAGGGCAGCGCCCCCAGACAGCAAGTGACGCCGCGTGCATTGACGACGAAGGCGTTGTCACCATGGCTCCTTCGTCAAGCGACTGCGTGCTGCCATGGACACGGTTGCAGTTGCGCTGGCCGCGGTGTCTTCGGATTTCGGGCTCGATATATCCATTGGAAGCCCGGAAAGACCGAAGGAACGGGCAGTTTCTGGGGCACGGGGCGGGGCCAATGTTTCGCGCTCGCACCCACCCCGACGGCCGTGACCTCCCCGTCCCTTCGTGAACGGCCTCCCGGATTTGGGCGGAGGCATCCAGATCGACCGGGGTCTAGAAGTTTAGGGGTCGACGCGAGACACAAGGCCCAGCAGGCCCTCCGTGCGCACGGCCCCAGCGCCCACCGAGTCTTTGGGAGCCCTGTCGTGTGCGGTTGAAATTATCATTGCTGCAGTCGCTGATTCTTAGCCGCCTCCTGCATTCAGCTCACACTGCAGTGCCGACCAGAGAGTAAATGCGCACGCTCCAAAGCCCCTCCTCCTCCTCCTCCTCCTCCTTCTCCTCCTTTTCCCCCCCTCCTCCTCCTCCTCCTCCTCCTCCTCCTCCTCCTCCTCCTCCTCCTCCTCCTCTTCCTCCTCCTCCTCCTCCTCCTCCTCCTCCTCCTCCTCCTCCTCCTCCTCCTCCTAGGTGGCTCGCGGCGGGCCATGGCCGTTTTGCCCCGCGGCGGGCACGGGGGCCCGCGCGCGATAGCCCCCAGCGCCACCTGAGGGGCGGGCGCGACCGACGGCGGATTCCGACCGCAGGGGGCGGTCGAGGTCGCCAGCGTGGCACCGTCGCCTGCGCCGACTGCGTTCGCAGGCGCGGGGGCGACTCCAAGATCAGCGCGACGTCGCGCATCTCGCCGTGCATCACGGCAGCGCGCCACCGATGCATGCGGCAGCAGGGGCGCAGGCGGGGCGCGGGGGCGCACCTCGCCCGTTGGCGTGCCAGCGCTGCGGCTGCCGAAAGAACGAGGAGTGGTGGACCTGGTGCTGCCACTGCAAGAAGCCGCTGGTCCTCGCCCAGGCTCGTCCTACTTGTGGTGGCGGCGGCGGCGCACCTCGCGACCAGAGACGCCCACCGAGCCGCGACCGTGACGGCCGCCGTGGCTGCCCACCCTGGCGCGAGGCGACAGGCGGTGCCTCGGCCAGCGCACGCTCGGCGTCTGGGAGCCGAGGCGCAGGCAGCCGCCGAGTGCGCTTCTCCAGCGCCCTCGCCCTCGTGCCAGCAGACGAGGACCCCGAGGAGTCAAAGCTCGTCCAGCTGGCGGAGCTGCTCCGCCTCAGCGGCGACGGGCAAGAGGTCGCCAAGTACCAAGCGAAGCTGGACGAGGTCAGGGCTCAACGTGTGGCCAGGCCCATGTCCGTGGACGAAGCATGCAAGGCCAAGGAGGCAGCGGCGGAGGCGCTCCAGGAAGCCACGCTGGAGGCTGAGGAGCTGCAGCGGCAGCTGGACGAGGCCACGGCCCGCGCGGGCGAGCGCTCCGAGGTCTTCGATCGCGCCACCCAGGAATACACGGCTGCGGTGCATGCGTTGGCTACGTCTGTGGCGCCCCAGCCCTCGCCAGACGCCGCCGCCTCGCCGCGCCTTAGCATCTCCGCTGTCCTGGCTGGCGAGACGGCTTGGACACTGGACGACGAAGGCCTCTTCGGCTTGGAGGAGCTGGACGGCTTCGGGGCCGAAGAGAGCGACCGCCAGGAGGCTCCGGGGCGCCGACAGGAGCTGCAGGACAAGTTCGGCAGCATGGCGCGCGAGGCCTCCGGCCAGTTCAAGGCCTCCGTCCAGGAGCTCGACGAGGCGCACCGAGCGCAGCGGGACCCCCTCCATGCTCCTCGCGAAGCACGCGGCGGACACGATCCGGGATCTGAAGTGCCTGGACGACGGCCGCGGCTCCAGCCACACGAACTACTACGGGCTGGGCGGCTAGTCTCGGGTCGGGCGAAAGGGGGGGTTTGGGAAAGGGGGGGGTTACGAAACCAGCTACATGCAGCTGGTTTCGGCCCCGCCGCCGGACCCATTCCTCGATACATGGGCGCCTCCTGGCGCCGGGAGGCGCCGGGAAAATCAGCTACGTGAGCTGATTCTCAAACCCCCCCTTTACTATCCCCCCCTTTCGCCCGACCCGATAGTCAGGGGAGTGCGAGGCGAGCTGCAACGACGACTCCAACTGCGGCAACACGTCGGCTTTCGGCTATTCAGGGGAGTGCTACGACGTCGACTGGCCATCGGCCACGAGATGGCCCCCCCTCGGCCCCCCCCGCCTGCAGTCCATGCGAGGGGGGCAACGAACCCAGACCTCCTCGCGTCGTGAAAAAATCACGACGGGAGGTTTTTCGCTATTTTCGGCCTCTGGGGGCCCTTACCGGGCCTCGGGACCGTCAAAAAACGACTCGGGATGAAAAACCGGTCGCGGGGAATGGGTCCGGACCTCTGGGGGTCGCGTCATGAAAAAATCATGACGTCGGGGGTCTGGGAAGAGGGTCAGGGCCAAGTGCGAGCTCTTCTGTGTCAACGACCTGCTCGTCGACATCTGCTTGTGCAGACCCCCGCCCGCCTTCTCATCCCCGCAGCGCCGGCTTTTTTCGGAGGTCGAACCGCTTCGGGGTCCTCGCAGCGCGCGGCCCTCTTTGGAGGTTAAGCCGCCTCGGGAGGTCGGCCTCCCGACGAAGGGAGATCAAGGGCAGGGGGCGTCGGCTGCTGGGCGCTGCGCTGGGCCGTCGCCCCCCCCGGGTGACGGTGAGTCCCTCCATGCGGGAGGCGTGGACCCGTCGGTCTGGGCCCGACTGCTCAGAGGTGGCCAACGCTGCGGGTGACGGAGTGTCCCTCCTTGGGAGAGGCGCTGACCCGTCGGCCGGCGAGTCCCTCTGCGTGAGATTTCCTCCTCATCATCAGCATCCTCCTCTATTTCCTCCTCCTCCGCCTCCTCCTCCATTTCCTCCTCCTCCTTCTCCTCCGCACTTTCTTCCTCCTGCTCCTCCTCATCCTCCGCTTCTTCTTTCTCTCATAGTCACTGTCTCGGTGTGTACGCCCTCTTGGCTTAGCGGGCCTTCTCAGAAGACCCAGACGGCCTCCTGCCTTCTCGGAAGTTGCTCCGAGCCCTCCCCGAGGACTCGGGCGGCTTCTCAGCAGGCTAGAGAGTTTCTGAGATGCCCCACACGCCCCGCCGCCTGAGAAGGTGAAGGCCCTCTCAGAAGGAGGCGGGGCTCCTCAGAAGCCCAGGCGCCTTCTGAGAGCTTCTCTGCGTCCTCGTGGAAGGCACAGACGAGCTGCCAGGAGGCCCGGGGTACTCCCAGGCCCTATGAGATGGCCTCCCCCCTGCCGCCTCCCCCCTCGCTCGCGGCCGCACGACGGCCCGCCCGCCCCCCTGCGGCTCCCTCCCCCGGCGCGCCGCCGAGGGGGGGGGCGCTGCTCGGACGGAAGGGCCCCGAGCCGGCAGGGCCCCGAAGGAGGCCCATGCCCTCTCGGAGGCCTCCCCCCTCCCTGACTCCAGATCCGCCCTACTCTGTGTTTTTTTTTCCGATTTAAAATTGCGTCGGAAATCCACGTATAAGGAGCCGAAAAAGTAGGGCGGAAATTTCTGCACCCAACATAAAGTAGGGCGGAAATCTGCAGGAGTAGGGCGGAAACAGCAACAGAAAAGTCGGGCGGCAATTGGCATCAGCGGGGTTTGAAAACTGAGGCGGGAATTCCAAGCCCCACTTACGAATCTCCCCAAAAAGGAGGGCGGATCCGGAGACAGGGCTCCTCTGGCGGCAGCGCCGCCCGCCCGGGCGGCGCCCGGCCGGTCGTGGAGGCCGCGCGCGGCCCGCGGCGTGGCCGGCGGTCGGCGGGGGGCCCCCTGCCGCGGCCGGCCGGGGCGACCCCCGGGCGCCCCGGGGGGCGTTCCCGGCGCGGCCCCGGCGAGGCGCGGCTGCCGTGGAGGGGGCCCCGAGGCCGGAGGGCCGCCTCCTCCTCCTCCTCCTCCTCCTCCTCCGCCTCCTCCTCCGCCTCCTCCTCCGCCTCCTCCTCCTCCTCCTCCTCCTCCTCCGCCTCCTCCTCCGCCTCCTCCTCCTACTCCTCCTGCGAGGGCGCCCGGCGACCTCGTGAGCGCTCGGGCCCGGGCCTCCGCCGGAGGGGGCCCGGCGAGAGGCGGGGCTCTCCAGCGAGCGCCTGGGACTTGGCCTCGCTCGGGTGTGTGCGTTTTTCCTTCGGCGAGGGCCATCGAGGATACTCCCTGATCATGGAATGATCAATGATGAGGATTCGAGCGTGGCTTGTTCGCCAAATTTTGGCGAAAAAACCACGCACGAAACCGAAAAACACAGGGAATGGACGTCCGAACGACGGGGAGGGAAACCGCCGAGGATCCCACGAGAGCGCCGGCAGACCCCGATCGGTCAGCTCCGCCGACGGGAACCCGA